TAAACTATTAAAAATAAAACTAATAGCTGATTAGAAATAAAACAAGGGACTTAAAATACATTATTGGTCGTGTATATTAGAATAATTTATTTATAATCACTATAATTTATAGAAACACTATAATTTAAGATTTGTTGTTTTTGATTGTTAACTGTTGGTCAGTCTATTAAGTTACTTGTGGAATAATGAATATATTTAAATAATTTATTTATAAGCACTTATAAAAGAAAATATATGATGCAAAATCAAATTAAACATTTAAATAAACTAAAATTATATATTTTACGCATAAGTTAAAAAAATTATAACTAATAGGAGATTTTTTTAAACAAATTAACATGTATATAAATTAATTTTAGTAATGTAATGAAACTTATATATTTTTTTTTTATAAAAAAATCTCTTATAATTATTAATTGTTTTATAGTCAAACAATTCATAATGGTTGATATACCACATTTAGCATGTATAGGTGTTTATCCTAAACAGTAAACACCAATAGTATATCGTTTTATGTTTGTTAAAAGTGAGACCGACGAATCAATTTTTTTTTAGTTTTTTTACCGATCGATAGTCACAACTAATGATTATAAATGGGTTTGTGTATATTCCCACATGTTAAATTGGCAAAATTGATGAAGCCTAAAATCAATCCATCAATAACATATCAAAAGTAACAAAAACACTTATAAGAATTCGGACGGACAAGCAATTTAATTTGGCCTTGTTAAATACATTTTTCTTCTTCTTCTTATTATTTTTTTATTTTTATTATTTAACATTTCTAAATAAATAAAAGCTTATATATAATATTATATGTTCTTACCGGAGATCGGTGATAGGGACGATCTGCTGGGTAAGATCGATGAGCCTCTTTCGCTGGTACGCTTGTTGCTCCAAGATGGGGGTGATACCTGCAAAAGAGACTCTGATGCTAAAGTTAGTGTTTATGGGTGTATGAGTCTCGTATAAGTAATGCACGTACCTTTGTGTGAATTCGGGTTTCGTTGGACCTCGGGCCTGAGATCAGTTATGACCTAATTAGATAGCGGACCTCGTCTTGGCCGAGGTCTCCTAGCGTGTGTCTGAGGTCACTCCGCGCTGTGATGCCGAGCTCGAGCTTGGCATAGCGGTACGAATATTACACTAACCCCCAAGCTCCAAAGACCGTAGGTCGAGGAGTTAAGACCGGGCTCGACAAGGGGTCGTGACTCTTCGCGTATGCCTATCTGTCATGACGCCATGTGTCATAACCGTCACCTCGTTCCCATAACGCGTGGGCGGCGCGGTGACAAGATTGTATTTTTATTTTTTTGATGACGTGGCTGCTTTGGGCCGATGTGGTGTTCCAATGTCCATGTTTTATGGCCGAGCTGAGGAGCTCGGCAATAATGAGTTTAATGCTTGGTTAGGCTGGTAAACCTTTGACCGAGTCAGTAGATTGGTGAAGGACAAGTCGACAACTCGGCTGGACAGTACACTTGCCCCCCAAGCACCGAGTGATGTAAGAGCAAAGGGGTTTCTGAGGAGCTCCCAAGTTTGTTGTTTGAAGGTTCAAATTCGACCTTGTTAAGTAGATGTGATCTTCACAAGAAAATGTAGTCTCAAGGTTCGAACTCGACCTTGGCATCAAGGTTCGAACTCGACCTTGACATCAAGGTTCGAACTCGACCTTGGTGTCAAGGTTCAAACTCGACCTTGACATCAATATTCGAATTCGACCTTGGCAACATAATTTGTATTTGAAGGTTCGAACTCGACCTTAACATCAAGGTTCGAACTCGACCTTGGCAACGTAGTTTGTCTTTGAATGTTCGAACTCGACCTTAACATCAAGGTTCGAACTCGACCTTGGCAACGTAATTTTTATTTGAAGGTTCGAACTTGACCTTAACATCAAGGTTCGAACTCGACCTTGGCAACGTAATTTGTATTTGAAGGTTCGAACTCGACCTTGGCAACGTAATTTGTATTTGAAGGTTCGAACTCAACCTTAACATCAAGGTTCGAACTCGACCTTGGCAAGTCGTCATGGTTAATGTGCCAATACTGAAAATGTATGGGAATGGAGTTGCTTTGTTGATTTATTTCTGAGGTATGCCTCGTTAAAACCTTCCTTGGCCAAAAACCCTTTTCTTTAGTGGGAAAAAAGGCTGAAGAGGAAAAAGAGTACATCACCTGAATTTACTAGTTAAGAGAAATAAAATTTGAGGTGGGTGGCATTCCAAGTTTCGAATTTTCCTTTGGAGGGGTCTGTTCTTGCTTCTCCCCGTAATCGCCAATCAAGGTTGCCGACTTTAAATGTTCGTGGCATGACCTTGGTCTTGCTTTCCTTGTGATTTGTCGCGAATTGCCTTGTGGAACTCGGCATGTTCCTCCATCTGGATGTACCCAGCAGCGCGAGCTCGGAGCTCGTCTATGTCGGGAGGAGGTCGTCGGCAAAGGCTGTCGACGAAATGTCCTGGCTTCAACGCCATGAGCATGGAGTGCAGTGCGACCTCGGGATTTAAGTTGCGAATTTTGACGGAGATGCTAGCGAAGCGCTCCATGAATGTCCTTAATGGTTCGTCGTCGCCTTGTCTGAGGCTGGCCAAGGCGGCGGATGTGATGTGATGAGGTCGGCTCGTTGCATATTGCGCTGTGAATCGCCTCACCAGAGTGTCGAAGCTATCAATTGATCCCGTTAGCAATTGGGTATACCAGGCGAGTGCCGGTCCCTTGAGCGAGGTCAGAAAAACCCTACACAGAATAGCATCTTCATTAGTGTATAGGTTTACCTATATAATGTATAGATCGATGTGCTCGTCCGGATCCGTCATGCAATCGTAACGGTCGATGTGAAGAGGCTTCCACCCGAAAGGGAGAGGTGTTTCCATGATGCCATCCATAAAAGGAGGACGGCAGAAGGTCGCTTGATTTCCCGTGACGTGGGCAGGAGCATTGCTGACGTCATGGGCCGACCTGTTCGTCGGTGCGTGGGATCGATGTGTGGCAGGCCTGGGAGTCGGTGCCCTAGTTGCTGTCAGCGGTTGAGACACTGAGTGCCCCTCTTCCTCGTGTAGGTTACTCTGTTGAGGGGGTTGATTAGAGGGACGCCGAGGGAGCTGAGTGCGAATACACTCATTCTCTACACGCAGCGCCGCTAGGTCAGCCTCATTAGCGGTACGCATTGCGGCTAGATCAGTTTTGTGCTTGGCCCGCATACTTTGTAGATCGGCGGCGTGTTGCTGCCGCATCTGCTCGACTTGCTCGATCAGTCTCCTCAATGTTGCTTCGTTGTCCATGCTAGTTGCGTGATCTAGGTCGTCTGTTGCGCGTCTACTATGACTTCTGGTGAAAACCATAAACGTGGCCGATAAGAGCTGTCTTGATCGGCCCCACGATGGGCGCCAAATGTTCTTACCGGAGATCGGTGGTAGGGACGATCTGCTGGGTAAGATCGGTGAACCTCCTTCGCTGGTACGCTTGTTGCTCCAAGATGGGGGTGGTACTTGCAAAAGAGACTCTGATGCTAAAGTTAGTGTTTGTGGGTGTATGAGTCTCGTATAAGTAATGCACGTACCTTTGTGTGATGAGACTTTCCTGAGTAGAAGTGATGATAAAGCTTTTCATGGAGTCTTGCTTCTCAAGAGGAACACTTAAGTTGTCTCTTGATTTTCAGCTCGAACAAACATTGCCCCCTTTTTTTTGTTTTGTTTTGTTTTGTTTTTTGTTTTTTGTTTTGTTTTTTTATTTTTTTTTTTGTTGTTGTTTTTTTTTTTGCCTAGAACGCCCTTTGCGGGTTTTCATCGGCATAGCGGTACGGATAGTACATTATATATTGCAGTACATCAAAAAATCTTACATTACTTACAAGGATAATTTATATATAAATACTCTCTTCTCATTGAAATACATTTTCAAAGAAAAAACCTTTAAAATTCAACTAACTAGCACTAAAGCTTAGATTTAGTGTGACTTTAAAGGCATCCAAAGATTTAAGGTCAAAACATTTAACATTAGAATGAGAGTCTAGATTACTTTTGTCCCTTAATCTTAATTAGGAGTTTATTTTAGTATGTCAAAAAATTTCACATCTTTTAGAATTTGAGATCAAGCTAGTTTATAAACATCATTTTCCCTTAATCCATGACTATAGAAACATCTTTTCACAGACAAAACCATGTCAATATATATTGGGAAAAAAACTCAATTTACATCAACTAGAGATAAAATTAATAAAGAGTTTATATATGTGGAGCAATCCTCACCTAAAATTTAGTTTTATAAAATTAAATTAAACTTATAACTCATTCTAAGGGATAGTTTAACAAGCACTCAAGTGAACAATATCTCTTATGTGTGAATCTTAACAATATCATACTTTAGGTTTAAACATTACATATACAAAGTATTTATTGACTATTTGTAATATCTTTTTTAACCTTAAAAAACATGTAATATAATTTCTTTATTTTAATCAAAATTGTATTTTTTATAATTGTTATATCAATTTATTATTTAATATATTATATGATAGTAATAATATATTTTATTATTATTGAATGACTCTAATTTGATGATGATTCAATTAGTTTGGGATACTCGTGTTACTTGTCTCTACTTGACCAAAATTAAATTTGATAGAATACTTAATATATATTAAGTTCCGACAAAATTTAAGACAAATAAAGTCAACTTGATTCATTAGTACAATATATTAGTTTTTATATTACATTAATTAAATTGAATTAAAGTATATTTTACTATATATATTTTTAAATAATATTAAAAGAATATTTAACATAAAATAAGATTGATGATATGATACGAAGTATAACTGAATTCATCTCTCAAATAAACAAATTCTTGATTCTTAAACTTGAACATGTAAAAAATTTCAACATTTAATGATCATAATGTAAAAAAAAGAGTTTAATAAAATTTTCATTTTCAATCATATATCTTTCATCAGTAAACTCGACATAAATATATATATATTAAGAAATTAGAATTTAATTTCAGAGCCTAAACGTTGCTAGCAAAGTATTTCTCTCTTTTGAAGGGGTATAAGGTATAATTACATAGAAGAAAGTGAGGTTTTCAACATAAGCTTCCGGAAAGAGGAGACGCCAAGAATCGTCACAAAGGCCCCTGTCAAGCTTCTTGGCAGTTCGAGTGTGAGTGTGGCCTCTATACCAGGTATATTTATATCCTGAAGAACCCATGTCCAATAAATGACAAGCTTCCATCGTATCAAGAAGGCGATCAGCACGTCTTAATGAAAAGGAGCCGCCACGAACCTCATTGGGTGATAGGACTTCATTATAGTCACCAATCAAGAGCCATGGTGTGGAAATACGAATGCGAATCTCACGTAGATATGACCAGAGGGCTTCCCTATTGTGGGGTACAAGACTCGCATATATCGCAGTGCAAACAAAGGATGGCAGACCTTTGTGAATTGTAACAAAGACTGCCTGATGAAAGCATTCCAAGGGTTTAATTTGAAAGGTACGAAGACACTTAGTAAAGAATCCAGATGCCGCCAGCATGCCCCTGGGCTTCAGATACCCCACATAACTCGTACCCCATGCCAGTCCAGAATGTTTTAGCAGCAGAAAAATTACAATGTGTTTCAACTAGGATGACAATGTCAGGTTGAAACCCATGAAGAAGCTCCTTTGTGAGTCGTCTACCTTTAGCGTTGACAGCAGGTGCCTATAAAGTTGGAATAGCTAGACTATCGAGCTGGGGAAACTGGTCTAGCAATAATGAGGAAGGTTGTTGTTGAACATCAGCTGAAAAGAGAGACATGTAAAAGCGTTGCGTTTCCCTTTGAAGAATAGTGGGGTCAGTGCTCCATGATCCATCCTCAAGGAATAAGCCGTGTATCTTGTTCCGATTCCTATGGATCATGGTTTGTGCGTGAAAGAATTTCGTATTCCTATCACCAAATTTGACCCATTTTTCATGAGATTTTTGGAACCAGAAAAACTCTTCTTGGACAAGAACATCGTCGTATTGTTGTTGGAGATCTCTTTCTAGTCTGATGGAAGCCTCCGTAGTATGCAACTCCAGGCTACGTTGAATGCCTTGAAGACGTTTCTGAATACGATGCTTCCTTTGTTTGATGTTACCGAACACTTGTTTATTGAAACGGATAGAATCATTCATTACATTCTTCAAACTTTCGGCAACCCTATGTGAACCTTTGGACCATGCAGTAGAGACAACATTAGAATAGTATTTATGTGTAGTCCATGCTGCTTGAAATCGAAAAGGGCGATCCCCTTTGGATTCTGGAAGGCCCCCACAACGCAACAATAAGGGTGAGTGATCGGAGTAAGCACGATGAAGGTTTTCAACATAAGCTTCCGGAAAGAGGAGACGCCAAGAATCGTCACAAAGGCCCCTGTCAAGCTCGCCAATAATCGTCACAAAGGCCCCTGTCAAGCTTCTTGGCAGTTCGAGTGTGAGTGTGGCCTCTATACCAGGTATATTTATATCCTGAAGAACCCATGTCCAATAAATGACAAGCTTCCATCGTATCAAGAAGGCGATCAGCACGTCTTAATGAAAAGGAGCCGCCACGAACCTCATTGGGTGATAGGACTTCATTAAAGTCACCAATCAAGAGCCATGGTGTGGAAATACGAATGCGAATCTCACGTAGATATGACCAGAGGGCTTCCCTATTGCGGGGTACAGGACTCGCATATATCGCAGTGCAAACAAAGGATGACAGGCCTTTACGAATTGTAACAGAGACTGCTTGATGAAAGCAGTTTCAACTCCTCGACCTGGAGTAAAGGAGTTCATCCAAACTACTAAGATGGATCAGTGTGCCCTGAAGGCAACTTCTGCAGAACAATACGTGGATTTAGAAATAAATCCATCCCTGATAAAGCTCTGGCAAAAAGAAGGATATGTTGCTCTCCACTTTGGAGCGGTAAGGTTAGTCTTAACCTTACATGGCAGAAAGGGTCTTCCAGTCACTGCAAGAGTCTCTCTTATAGACTCTACCTTTCATCACTATGAGCATGCCGTCATTGGATCTGTCCTGACAACATTAAATGCTGGAAGTGTTGTTCTAACAATATTTCCAAACTTTAATGTCCAATTAAAGGATCCAACTCTCCCAAAAAGGTTCAAGGTGCAGGTGCAGATCGTTGGGGCACCACAGGAAGAAGCAGCGTTGGCTGCCACTCTACACCATCAATTAATTTTCAGAGTGCAAGATCATTGTTTTGATCTTCCTACAGAAGCACAATTTAATGAAAATGCATTGATGGTCATTGCTAACTCAGAAGACCAAGTGCCAACCATTGTCCAAATTCCCAAGCAGATCTCGCGAGGAGATCTAGAGCTACTGATTCCACGAGAGTGGGTCAGTAATTATGAAAGCTACAGGAATGGTTAGAATCCTGTAATCGCCACTGAATACTCCTACCAAAGATTAAAAGATGGCTCTGTTAAAACTATCTTCAAAAAGAAAGATCCCACTGAAGCTTCAACAAGTAATGTTGTTTTCAGCACCATGATGATCTCCTTTGGAGAAAGGGAAACAACTGTTGCCATCTATTCTTTCAGACCAGACGGAAGTTCCATTTATTCTGATAAGATAAATGGACATTTTATGTGGGACATAGCACCAGAAATGTGCGATCCAGAATGTGATTGCTGGATGGACTACTCAGATGATGAATCAGATTCAGATGACTCTGATTCTGATAAAAAAGTAGATGTAAACCTTCATCACGGCATCGAAAGCCTCCTCCCAGAAGACAATCGTGGGTGGCTTTCAGAACACCTCCAAGGCCTTTTTCCAATCTATGATCAAGTTCTAGAAATTCTCAGGCGAGAAAAGAGAAAGTCGTCTCCTCCACCTCCTGAAGAACCATCATTAATCACTTGGCCTCCTCCAGAAAGGTGTAGTCCAAAAGAAAATCATTACAGTACAGTCCCTCCTGTACAAAGAACAGAGTTTTGCATGATGGCTTCTCAAGAGGAATTTCCACCACTTGAGAGAAGAACCACTCCAACAACTAGGGTAGATGTCAAACCTTTTGTCACAAAGACAGAGGTCACTACTGATGGCAGGATGAAAGCTCTTTCTCAAGCAGAGGAAGTGCTAAACTGGCAGACAGAGAATGTTGTAGCCCAGAATACATGGATAAAAGAGATCAATCAAAAAATCGAAAAGATGCATATATCCATGGACTAAGATATCAAGCTTCTGTCCACCAAGTTACAATCCTACCATCAAGAACTGAAGGAAAAAATTGAACAACTCGAAAGAGAAATTGCAGGAGTCAAGGGGATCCATAAATTGAGTATGGAAGTTCTCAACAAACAAAGAAGCCTGGACAAAGCTAAAGAACAATATGAAGAGCTTGTTAGGCTTGTTGAAGAAAAGAAACATTCTACTATCCTAGAGGATGATCCATATACTATATCAGACCTACAAGAATTTTTCCAAAAACTAGTTCAGGATCAGGCACATGCATGTCTACTCCTTTGTTTCCACCAAAAAGGACTCCAGTAATCACAAATCCCTTTGATTGGAGCAGAGCAGAAAAAAGAAAGGAGAAATCTCCTGAAAAGAAACCTCCACCAGAACCATCAACAAAGAAAACTGAAGTAGAAACGTCTTCTCCAGAATGTACAGAAGAATTTCCTACTCAATCATTGATGGTAAATATAGAGGGAGAAGATACAGAAGAAAATTCAGATATAGAAGAAAAATCTGAAAAAGACTTTTCTATATCCGAATATACTTCTTCAGAAAACTCTTTGGAGTTGACAGAGACTTCAGTTGAAACAGATTCTCAAGATAACACCAGTCATGTTATTAGATCATTAATGGCAATAGAAAGAGATGACCTGCATATTAAAGAAATTAATACTCCTGTCCCAACAGGATCTCCACTGTTCTCTCTAGATCATATACCACCATCCCAATGGAGAAAGAAGTTTTTAGATTTCAAAGCATGGCTAGATGCAAAGATGATCCATCTTGATGCAGACCAATATAAAGTTATTGAAGAATTCTGTGCCAACATGACAGGTACCTTAAAAGAATGGTACATGAGTTTGGGACGAGTGAATCAAGATAATCTTCACAGAACTTCCATTGATGAATTTCTTGGAGGACTTCAATATCATTTTCTTGGAGAATCAACTCTCCTGTATCAAATCATTCGGAGAGAATATTTTGAAATGAGATGCTGTTCTCTAGAAAAAGAAGATCTTGATCGACACTATCAAAGAATGTCCCAAAGATTCTACCAACTCAATGGTATGAATGATGCAAGTCTGAAGAATACATATGTCAGTTCTCTTCCAGAAGAATTACAAGAAGAAATGTGGAGAATATTACAACAGTCAAACAAAGATGTTCTCCAGATGACTATGGGAGAAATTTATCAGACTAGCATTGTTGCTTTGGACAAAATCTGCAATCGGCAGAGAATGTTCAAAAAGATGATCGATGAACAACCCAAATACAAGCAAGTGTGCAAGAAAGGATATCTACAAATCAAGTGCAAAGACTCCAGTTGCCATTGCAAAGATAGATCCAGCAAAAAGAAAAAAAAGTTTAAATCCTTCAGAAAGAGGGGAAAAAAGAAATTCAAATTCTTCAAGAAGAAACCCTTCAGAGGAAAAGGATCTAACAGCAGATGTTTTATCTATGGACAAAAAGGACATTTCTCAAAAAATTGTCCTAACAAGAAGAAAGCCACAAAACTGATAAGCACACTCAAACTGGAAGATGAAGATGTGGAATCACTGTTCGATGAACAGGAAAGTCCAGATGAATCAACTGTCTTTGGTATCACACACTCAGAAGGAGATGCTGATAGCTCCTCAGAACAATCTGACTACACTGATGATGAATGCAATCATTTTCCCATATTAAAAAAAGAAGAGGTATGTTTCCAAAAGGAAAAGGAAATTCCATTACTACCAAATGTTGAAGCATTCATCTTGCCATCAAAATATCATGTGCCTATCAAAGTTATTGCATTCATAGACACCGGTGCATCTAGAACGATGCTCAATCCGGCAATATTACCATCAAATTTATGGACAACTCAAGTTCATAAATTCATAGCTGCAGATGGAAAGACTTACGAAACAGACTTAGTCACATCCTCAAAAATTGGAATTAAACCCTTTCCAGATTGTACAATTTGGATGAAAGTAATTGGTGATAGTCTTCATGGAAAGGATATTCTCATTGGCAGAGATCTTTTAGTCCAGAGCACAAAGTTACAAATTTTAGCTCATGGATTAAAATACAAAAGAGAGTTCAAGCCTTTCTGCAAAAATTCGAACATGTTCTCATTAGCAGAACTTCCTCCAGGATTTGAAGATGTTGGAGATCAGCTCAAGAAATTATGTGCTGACAGTCATGATCTTTTCAAACATCCTCAACCTTTGTGGACAAGAAAAGAATTTTTTGTTCAACTTCCTTTCAAAATGAATGAAGATATCAATCCAACCAAAGCCAGTCATCCTGGAATGTCACCAAGGGAGTATCAAGCAGCCAAAGAAGAATGCCAACAATTGCTAGAGCAAGGACTTATTGAGCCCACAACCTCAAGCTGGGCATGCACGACATTTTATGTGAATAAAAGAGCTGAACAAGCCAGGAACAAGAAGGGACTTGTCATCGATTACAGATCTCTAAACGTGTTTCTAAAAGACGATAAATTTCCTCTTCCAAAGATATATTCAGTTCATGCCTACATAAAGGATGCATACTACTTCTCAAAGTTCGATCTCAAATTTGGATTTTGGTAGATTGGCTTAGATCCTAAAGATCGACCAAAAATAGCTTTCTGCATCCCAAATGCTCATTATCAATGGACAGTCCTTCCATTTGGCCTGAAAGTTGCTCCTTCGTTGTTTCAAAAGACTATGGTTCGAATATTTGAACCTATTCTGCACAGTGCCTTGATCTACATTGATGACATACTGCTATTTTCTCCAAATGAAGAAAGTCATAAAAAGCTCCTACAATAGTTTCATCAAATCTATAACCAATATGGAGTAATGCTTTCATCAAAGAAATCTGAGATTGGAGTCAAAGAGGTCAACTTTCTTGGAATGCATTTTGCTTATGGCAAATATGTCCCTCAACCTAACATTGTAGAGAGACTCCCAGAATTTCCAGAAAAGGATATGACAGTCAAGGAGATTCAACAGTTTTTGGGAATTATTAATTACGTTAGACACTTTATTCCCAACATTGCTCCTCGTGTTTCACAATTATCAAAGTTACTGAGAAAGAATCCCCCTCTATGGGGACCAGCCCAAACCGAAGCAGTAAAAGTTTTGAAGAAGATTGCTCAAAATCCTCCTCCGCTAAAAATACCAGGCGAAGGAAAAAGAATTCTGCAAACAGATGCAAGTGATCATTACTGGGGTGCAATTTTGATTGAAGATATCCAAGGACAACAGTTTTTCTGTGGATATGCTAGTGGAAAGTTTAAAGATTCAGAACTTCATTACCACACCATCTTTAAAGAAACCCTAGCAGTCAAACATGGAATTCAAAAATTTGATTTCCATCTCAGAGGACACCAATTCGAAATTCAACTAGATAATTCTGCATTCCCACGAATGTTAGAATTCAAAAACAGGGTGCCTCCCAATGCACAAATACTCAGGTTAAAAGAATGGTTTTCCAGATATGATTTTATAGTCAAGCATATCAAGGGAAAAGACAATTCTATTCCAGACTACCTCTCTAGACCAAAAAAGCCTGATCAACATCATATAAGTATAATATCTTCTGATTATACTTATCCAATGATCTTGATGAATGAACCATCCTCCTCCTCTCAACATAATCCCTGGAAGAAACAGTTTTCTCCAGAAATCACACCAGATTTCCCTATTTCCCCTGCAACATTGCAAAACTTTGCTAGACAACATATGTTATCTTATCTGGCAGCCTCTCTCCACAAACACCATATTTCGCCCAAACCAAATTGGTTTAATCCAGACACACCCTTTCTGAATATCTTTGGTATTTTATTGGGAAAAACATTTCTTGAAGATGACATGTGGTATTTATGGAGCGTCTCATTGCTCCATCAATATCCATTAATCTTTCCTACTCAGGAAATGATTAATTTTCTGCAAAACACAGAATATGAAGGTTCAATACTATGGGAATTTCTGTCCTGGTATGAGCCCATACAAATGGATTGAAGACCTTGAGGCTGAAAAAACTAGGATTCAACAACATCATGATCCTAGCCAGTGGAACTTAGAAAGGATGGTTATCATTGCCATTATTCATCGTCCATATTTTAAACATCCAACAAAAAAATTATTATGGACACAAAACCAAGTTCAAATGTGTGGTCTACATATCCAAATCTTCAAATGTTTACTCAAGAAGATCAACCACCTTTTTATCAGAGTGAACTGATCATTGAACTTCACAGGTTAAATGGAACTTTTGCTGAAGTTATTAACAGAAGTTCTACATGTACCAACTTAAAGCCATTGGATATCATTTGTCCTCCTGAGCCAGATACACATTATTACAGTGTTGCTAAGAAAGTGTGTCCACCAGTCAATACAGCTCCAACGGAACAACTTATTCTTGAAAGTGCTGATACACGTGGACAAATTCTTATGCATGAGGATAATGCATATCACTGTGATAGTCCAACCTTATCTCGAGTTTACAGCTCAGCTTCAGATTCCAGTTATTCAGATCCAAACTTATCACCAAGTCATGAGCCTATCTTTAAGCATTAACTGATGGAATTTCTGACCATCACGTGAAGGAATCTTATGCAACCAGCTGTGTATCGTTTTGAGTTAATAAGATGTAACCTAACATCTTTTGTAAAATTATTGAGTCTGAGGGAATCTTATCCCTATACGTACTAGTTTGTTGGCAGATGTGACCCTACATCTTTAGCCATCTGTGTGTATTTACTGTTTTGTGAAGGACAGTAGTGAGTCATTAGGTATGAATCATTGTACCTTAGGGATGAGTCACTGTACTATAGTGTCGGCCATAATAGTAATGGCTTTAAGTTTATTTTATAATGGTTTCAGGTCCGGGAGCTCAGCTCCTCTATATAAGGACTGCTTGTGTAATGTTGAGAGGCAGAGAACCTCAACCATAAATAAAACTTCTGTTTTATATTATCATGAGTTTCTAAACACTTCTTTCTTTCCTGAAAACTCTATTCTTGTGATTATGTCTTAGACTTCCTTCCGTGAGAGAATACTTTGCTTTACTATTAGATATAGAGTATGCTCTGCACTTGCCATAAAAATGGAACCTGTGCATCAGAAATATATTTGATCAATGATCATTTTGAACGGTCCTTATTGTTATTAGCGTTAGAATTAAAATTCTTATTATTAATATAGCTATGATTAAGAGAATAACAGGACCTGAGAAAGTACGTTAAGGGTGCGGAAAAGCTCGATCATGAAATCTTAATTATAATTATGTTCAATGATAAGGGTTTTATAATGATGTTGATAATATATAAGGCTCCCGTCCAATATGGTATAGAGTTATCATATATATTTATATATCAAACTTCTTAATAATATTTTTATTTTTATTTTGTTATCATATTATATCATTTATCATACAATAATGTGATAAATAATATTATATGATAAATAAATGAATAAAAATATTAAATAAATGTTTATACGGTTGACAAGTTGATGAATAATTGTTCTTACCATTTATTTGTTTAAGGGACGATTGTTTTATAGATCAAAACACCATTTCTGAGAATATGAATTTAAGAATATATAATTCTTACGTTTGTTATAAGTTTTAGAATTTTATTTCTGAATGTTGTTTGTTCTAAAAAAAAACAAAAGTAATTATATTATATTTCAAATCATTTGATTCTCATAATGAAAGAGTGAATCTAATTTTAACTATATATTCCTAAAAATGATATTTCTGATTATCCAAAAATGGTATTCCCGACAATATATTATTATCCGTGGAGAGAAGATTTTTCGAATATATACATTAACCAACACATATTCCGGCAAAGAATTACAAAGTTCTCAAGTGATCAATAATCTTTCAAGCAAAAGCCATGTCGAATTTTCTGAACGAAATCTCCTCCTTGTGGTTCCTATCTTTGATACCACTGTTCATCTTCCTAGCCTTTCCCACCATTCTCAATCTTCTATCCAAATTGAATTCCAATTCAACTAAAAACTCGCCCCCATCTCCTCCAAAACTCCCCATAATAGGAAACCTCCATCAACTTGGCACTTCCCATCATCGCACACTCCAATCTCTGGCTCAAACCTATGGTCCCTTAATGTTGCTTCACTTTGGAAACGTACCAATGCTCGTGGTCTCAACCGCCGAAGCAGCGCGTGAGGTTCTGAAATCCCTAGACCACGTTTTCTGCAACAGACCACATCGTAAGATGTTTGACATCTTCTGGTATGGTTCAACAGACGTAGCATCTGCACCTTACGGCCACTACTGGAGGCAGGTGAAGAGTATCTGTGTGTTGCATCTTCTGAGTGGCAAAAAGGTTCAATCCTTTCGTAGGGTGAGAGAAGAGGAAGTTGTGCTAATGATAGAGAAAGTTAGGAAGAGTTGTTGTGACTCGAAGTTGAAGCCAGTTAACCTAACTGATTTGTTATCCGAGGTAACTAATGATATAGTGTGTAGGTGTGTTATTGGAAGGAGATATGGTGCGAGTGAGCTTAGAAGGCCTATGAGTGAGTTAGAAGAGTTGTTGGGGGCTTCGGTTTTGGGGGATTATGTGCCTTGGCTTGATTGGTTGGGAAGAGTTAATGGGGTGTATGGTAGGGCTAAGAGAGCGGCTAAACACCTTGATGAGTTTTTGGATGAAGTTGTTGATGAACATGTTAGTAAGAGAGGACATGATGATGACGATGATGGTGATGAAGGGCAGAATGATTTTGTGGACATCTTGCTGCGGATTCAGAAGACAAGCTCCACCACAGAATTTCAGATTGATAGAACAATCATGAAGGCTTTGGTCATGGTAAGATTTACACGTTTCTACCTAATTAATTAGTTCTTATTACCTACTCTATACTGATAATATACTCTTTTAACTCTCATTTCCTACCCCATTCTCTATTATAATTGAAATTTATGGAAATTATACTAATTTAGAAATGGGATTCACCTAATTAATGAAACATGAACAAAAGACATATGGAAGAGGACATACTTTTAGTGCAAAACAAATTGATAAGGGGAAAAAATGTCATAGATATCAATATATGAAGTATTCGTATAATTCAAGTATCCAAAATGTATTACTCTTCAACAAATAAGAAACAGGTAATGATACATGATCACTCTCTTGTTATGATTCAAAGTTTATTAAATAAAGAGTGGACCCATTCAATTTGGTTGTTTTTAACAAAATTTGCCCAAATAATAGAGTTTACTAGAAAGAGGGTGTTGCTAATATTTCATTATTTTTTTAATATTTTATTGAACTCCCTTGTTTTTCCGGTAAAAAGTCGTTTGGTTTATATAAGAATCTAGTTATTTCCATTTTATTCCAAATTGTTTTGAGTTCAATAAGTAGTAGATTACTCCCTGAAGTTTAAATTTCTTGAGAGATTTGAAGAAGTATTTATTAGTAGACTGCACTGTTGATATAATATTTTTTTTTTATATATATTATCAATTAATTAAATATTTTTAATATAAACTTTAAGATGATTATTCAAAAATAATAAAATTATTATATATAACAATTTATAATTGAAAACCTTTGTATTTTTAGTACATTTATTATTTATTAGAAGTTTAAACGACTTGCTAAAAAAATTACATCAATATACAGTTATTTCATTCGTTTTAAAAGTACTCCAAAATATTTGAACTTCTAAACTTTCCTGTAATTGATGCCAAAGTATACCAAAATCTAGCTTGATTGCGTTATCGTATTGGAAATAAAAACAAAATGTCCATCATCACTACCTAACTATGGCAAGTGGTTGAAACATAAACAAGGCATGGAAGAGGACATAGTTTTAGTGCAAAACAAATCGATAAGGGGCAACAGGTTTTTTCTTTTACCATACTGTCAATTTTGTTTGGGTGGATATGCTTCTGGCAATAGTGGACTCAATGCAAGACTTAAGTGATCTTCAATCTTGGGATTATTTATCCTGTGTTAGCCAAATAATACTACCTCTATCTTTTCTTATCTTAATTATAAATAACATAACACAAATCTTAATTATAAATAACATAAGACAAATAATTAATATAATTACTTTTAATTAATTATATTATAAACATAAATTTTATTCCAAATATAATTTTTTTATTTTAAGTAATCATTATATTAAATGTTAAAAATTAATGATTATTATATAATTAAATAAAAAACTAATTTTTTACAACCTGAAGTAATATATCGTTGACATAAAAACAAAAGAAAAAGTGGATGCATGATCTTATGGCCATAAGAATGGGATCACTTCATTATTAAGCGGAGCCCATATGAAATTTCTTCATGATAGAGTAGAACATATACAATTTAGGTGCACGTGAACAAAATCAAGATAATTAATCAAATGTCTAAACTTTCGTTAAACCTTGCATCTCTACATAAATAGTGAATTATTACAAATAAAAATTCAAAAGGAGAATATAAGGGTTATATTTTTTTATTGGTAAGAATTATAATAACCATAAGAGGATTCAAATATATAACTATGCACATATTATAATAACCATAAGAAATTAGTAGTCTTGTTAAACAAACAAAATTAATTGAAAAAGTAGTAACTACAACAAAACTTATTATTACCGACAATTATTTAACGGTAATAAATTAATTATCTCTATTTTATTATTTAATAAAAATATTAATGACTAATATATAATGACCATTAAAAATATATTCATATCATACCAAAATTTATTATTAGCAACAATTATTTATTGGAAAAAACTTAAGTCCCACGTCGACTAGAAATAAGATAATTAAAGAGTATATAAGTGATGATAACTTTCACCTTACAAGTTTATTTTGAAAGATTAAGTTAGACCTATAACTTACTATTCTAAGTTAATACTAGATTACTCACCATTACTAAACTTAATAGTGCTAATTAAAAAAATAAGAAAATTAAAGAATATATAAGTAGAAGACAACCTTCATCTTACAAGTCTCACGTCGACTAAAAATAAGATAATAAAAGAGTATTATAAATTATTTCTTAAACTTTTAGTGGCAATAACAAAAAATATTAAATGCCAGTAAAAAATGTCACAAAATTAAAGTTTTACATTTTTGCCGACCATTATAAGGATTTTACCAGTATATAGAATAATGGTCGTTAAATATTTTAGCGACATTGCATATAATGGCTAATGTTAAAATACCGATAAAAGATTTTGTAACAATTTTTATTGTCATTAAAAATCATATTAAATGTCACTAAAAATTTATTTTATTGTAGTGAATATTACTCCCCTCAGAACTTTTGTTTGGGGTTTATTCTGTATATTGTGGATGGAAGGAAGCGTATGTTTAATTTTATAGGATATATATCATTTCATATGTCATCATATTATATTCTGTGATCCTAATTAATTAAGTTGCCATGTTTTTTATTTTCACCCTGCAGTGTAGTATATTCGGATAGGACATAATAAAAATTATGTGGTGGCAATTGTGTTAACCATTGATATTTTTATATTTCAATTCAGGATATGTTTGGTGCAGGAACTGATACCACCCTTGCAGTGCTAGAGTGGGCCATGACAGAACTCTTGAGGCACCCAAATGTGATGCAAAAGCTACGAGATGAGGTGAGAGGTGTAGCTGGAGACAGGACTCACATAACTGAGGAGGATTTGAATCACATGCCCTACTTAAAAGCAGTTATTAAAGAGATTCTTAGGTTACACCCTCCATCTCCCATATTGATTCCAAGGGAATCCATGCAAGATGCCAAAGTATTGGGCTATGACATTGCAGCTGGCACACAAGTGCTGGTTAATGCTTGGGCAATTTCTACAGACCCTTCATATTGGGACCAACCTCTAGAGTTTCAACCAGAGAGATTCTTGAAGAGTGCAATTGATATCAAAGGGCATGATTTTCAATTGATTCCATTTGGAGCTGGAAGGAGGGGATGTCCAGGAATAGCATTTGCCATGATTGTGAATGAGTTGGTGCTTGCAAACATTGTGCACCAATTTCATTGGGAAGTACCTGGTGGAGTGCTGAGGGACCAGGCATTTGACATCTCTGAAACTACTGGATTGACTGTTCATAGGAAATTTCCTCTTCTGGCACTTGCATCACCTCATATGTAACAAACAAGTGAAATGTTACAAAGTAAAATTAGAGGTTTCGATTATTATAATGTTAGCGTTTGTGTTATTACAAGGTGTAATTAGCTTTTTCGCATTTATATTTGTACGAACTTTACCTTTTTTCTTTATAATTAAATATATTTATTTTAATTATTATCTTTGTCTTCATTTCTCATTATATTATTTATTAGCTTAATTTCACCTTTTTTCCTATAAAATTACATAATTTTGTAAATTTTATCTTTTCAATTCTTTTTTAAAAATTTTGTCCCTTAATTTATAAATGTGAATGTTGTCCCATAATTTAAAATTTCACAAATTTTTCTCTCACCTACATAAACGGATACAATTTCATTTGTATTAAAATAATAGTTAACCAACAATAATCATATCCTATGGATTCATATTAGTCAGTCATTGGTTTTAGGATATCACATCACATGTGAACTATGTTCATAAAAAAAAAAAAAATCACTACGATTAAAGAAATATCGATTACAAAATTGTCTGTAATATTTAAGCAGGTTATTAGTTTATATATATATATATCAAACCTCGTCACGTGGGTTCATTAAGAAGATTGACCCCACCACCTTAATGGGGTCCACTCGTCAAACTTCCACACAACAAGGGAGTCAAGAAAAAAAGCGTCATCGTATGGATTCAAGTCCAATTTCTACTGGGCCTACTTTACCTAAACAAATGACGTCAACTGCTGGGCCCCCTCTACTCACTCAAATAACGTCGACTTTCTCCTCTACTCAAGTCATGCATGATGATGAGGTCCAGGTCATGTTAGATGGGGGGACAATGCATGCTTTAACACATGTTGAAGGTAATCGATATTCAATGAAGTTGGATGATGTTGACACTGCAGATGAGCGCAAAGGTATCCCTGATTCTAGCTGTAATGAGGTCCATGGGCCAGATATTATGGTGGTCTAATCTGGGTTTCCCAGAGAGACATGTAAAAGCGTTGCGTTTCCCTTTGAAGAATAGTGGGGTCAGTGCTCCATGATCCATCCTCAAGGAATAAGCCGTGTATCTTGTTCCGATTCCTATGGATCATGGTTTGTGCGTGAAAGAATTTCGTATTCCTATCACCAAATTTGACCCATTTTTCATGAGATTTTTGGAACCAGAAAAACTCTTCTTGGACAAGAACATCGTCGTATTGTTGTTGGAGATCTCTTTCTAGTCTGATGGAAGCCTCCGTAGTATGCAACTCCAGGCTACGTTGAATGCCTTGAAGACGTTTCTGAATACGATGCTTCCTTTGTTTGATGTTACCGAACACTTGTTTATTGAAACGGATAGAATCATTCATTACATTCTTCAAACTTTCGGCAACCCTATGTGAACCTTTGGACCATGCAGTAGAGACAACATTAGAATAGTATTTATGTGTAGTCCATGCTGCTTGAAATCGAAAAGGGCGATCCCCTTTGGATTCTGGAAGGCCCCCACAACGCAACAATAAGGGTGAGTGATCGGAGTAAGCACGATGAAGGTTTTCAACATAAGCTTCCGGAAAGAGGAGACGCCAAGAATCGTCACAAAGGCCCCTGTCAAGCTTCTTGGCAGTTCGAGTGTGAGTGTGGCCTCTATACCAGGTATATTTATATCCTGAAGAACCCATGTCCAATAAATGACAAGCTTCCATCGTATCAAGAAGGCGATCAGCACGTCTTAATGAAAAGGAGCCGCCACGAACCTCATTGGGTGATAGGACTTCATTAAAGTCACCAATCAAGAGCCATGGTGTGGAAATACGAATGCGAATCTCACGTAGATATGACCAGAGGGCTTCCCTATTGCGGGGTACAGGACTCGCATATATCGCAGTGCAAACAAAGGATGACAGGCCTTTACGAATTGTAACAGAGACTGCTTGATGAAAGCATTCCAAGGGTTCAATTTGAAAGTTACGAAGACACTTAGCAAGAATCCAGATGCCGCCAGCATGCCCCTGGGCTTCAGATACCCCACATAACTCGTACCCCATGCTAGTCCAGAATGTTTTAGCAGCAGAAAAATTACAATGTGTTTCAACTAGGATGACAATTTCAGGTTGAAACCCATGAAGAAGCTCCTTTGTGCGTCGTCTACCTTTAGCGTTGACAACACCACGAATGTTCCAAGCTAAAATATTTAAATTAGCTAAAGTATTCATTATGACATAGAAGGGAGTAAGTGGGAAACCCAGATTAGACCACCATAATATCTGGCCCATGGACCTCATTACAGCTAGAATCAGGGATACCTTTGCGCTCATCTGCAGTGTCAACATCATCCAACTTCATTGAATATCGATTACCTTCAACATGTGTTAAAGCATGCATTGTCCCCCCATCTAACATGACCTGGACCTCATCATCATGCATGACTTGAGTAGAGGAGAAAGTCGACGTTATTTGAGTGAGTAGAGGGGGCCCAGCAGTTGACGTCATTTGTTTAGGTAAAGTAGGCCCAGTAGAAATTGGACTTGAATCCATACGATGACGCTTTTTTTCTTGACTCCCTTGTTGTGTGGAAGTTTGACGAGTGGACCCCATTAAGGTGGTGGGGTCAATCTTCTTAATGAACCCACGTGACGAGGTTTGTTTAATCCCACGTGACGAGGTGGATTTGGGGGTTGCATGCATGGGTGTAGCTTTAGGGTTATTAGCGGTGCTCCGACCCGCACTAGATTGGAAAGTGAAGCCTTTGTTCGAATTTGAGTTATTTTGAACAAAATCTTTGGAAGATTTCTGAATATTTGATTTCTTTTTCCTCCTAACAACGAGCCAATCACCATGAGCGGAGACAAGTGGTTGAATTCATACAAAGCAACTAACCTTCTTAATGAGCTTTGAATGAATGGTTGTAAAAGTGATGACTTATAAAGATAGTTATGGAAAGTGTAAGAAATTAATTCTGTGATGTGTTACAACAGGCAAAGTTAACGGAGTTAGAAAAAAACAATCCAAAGTAGGGACAAAACGTATTAATTTTGATCCTTTTTTCGTAATTAGTATTCGTTTTTCGTCTCTAATTGTATCTACGTTTTCTTTTGGGTCAATTATATATAACAAAGAATATATTATGATTTTCTTTTTGTCACTTACACAATATTCTTATTAAATGTGATGAATAGGATTGAACATCGATCGGTAGCTATAAATTTCTATTTTAATTACGAATTCAATACCCATTTAAGACTAAAACGGATTGAATCGGAACCGATTGAACTGTACCAAAATTGGTAAAAACCAGTTTTAACCAGTCTGATAAGAATTATATATATATGAGCAGTTCCAATTACCATGACCATAGCAGCCGCAATTAGAACATAGTAAATGTAGGCCTTCGTATTCGATGTTATACCACTTTCCATTCAAATTAAACTTACCCACAACAGGGGTATTCAAATCAACCTCCACGCAAACGCGTGCAAATCTTTCGCGCAGCATGTTGGCAGTGTGCAGGTCCACCTTTAACGGTTTCCCAATAACGGAGGCTATAGTTAATAATACGCTCTCGACGTAGAACATCATATTCAAGTTTAGGAAACGCACCCACACTAAGGTCTTGTTGATGGAGTCGTCTTGGGCTGAAAAATTTGGCGACCATGGGCGTACCGTGAGATAGTGATCGAAGATCATCCACGGTCCGCCATTAATGGCTTTTTCCCTGTCATCATCGAGGTCAAAGCTGGCTAGAAAATATTCGTGATCCACGTCCATCAATTTGAATCCTCCCGTGAGTTTCTATAACTGCTTAATCTTCTCCCGTAACGTAAAATATCCCAGTTTCTTCCCTAATAATTTCACAACAAGGCACTTTTTCCATGGCTGGCATAGCCTATCAAACATAGAATCATTGATCTTGAATTTCGGAAGGAGTCAATTCCCATTATCCCATTCTACCTGCATATCGCCCTCCTTAAGCAGGTCCTTGATCGCCTTCGGCTTCGTCTGTTTTCCAATATCTTTGTCTCGAAAAGACGTCTCGCCAATCCTAATCCCATCAGGAGGCTTCGGAGGTAGATCACCGTTGGTGTGGCGCAGAGAGAGAGTTTCACGCAAATCCATAAAAAGTTAATTCTTCCTTTGAATATAAGAGAAAATAATAAACATGTCAACGCATTTTGTAATATATTTAAAAATTTTACATATAAATTTAATTTAACCTAAAACTTAACAAACAAACAAAATAACAACACATTCAAATTGTATATCACACTAGTACAGAATATACATTCTACGTCGGTTATTTTAGGGGTTTTATGTTAGAAAAACCTCCGACGTCGAAGCGGGAGACGTAAATTTACGTCGGATGCGAAAACCAACGTAAATTTACGTCGGACATTACAAGGTCCGACGTAAAAAGTTGTAAAAAAATTTAAAAAAAAAAGAAAAGAAAAATGACTGCAAGCAGAACGGGTCGTTCTGGTTGGAGAATGGCCCGTTGTCCAAGCAGAACGGCCCGTTTTGCATGGAGAACGGCCCGTTCTGCAACCCGTACTTGGCCACTTCCTTCTCCAGCTTCAAAAACTCAGAATGCAATGAAAACATTACCTTCTTATTCCCGTGAACACACTCAGCAGAAGACACCACCTCATAGAACCTCCCAGAAAAACCCATGACCAACGCAACCGTCCGAAGAAGAACATCATCACGCGAAATCAACCTCTTCTCAACCTTCCTAAGCTCTAGAGGAGGTAGAACTTGTCGAGGTGGAGGGCAGCCACGATTTGAGGAGGAGGCGGAGGGATTTCTCGTGCAGTGACGGATCCAGAAATTTTAGATAGTGGGGGCAATAATTATTTATATATTTATAGTATTAAAAAATTTACATATAACTTTCAAAAGTATAAATATATAACATAAATATTTTTTACAAACTTTTATATCTATACTTATGATTAAGGATGAAAATAAGTTAGGTCAGATTATGTTATATTATAATTTAGGAGGTTTGAACCTAACTTTTTTTTTATATTAAAATACATGTCCTAAATATAACTTATTTATCTATCATAGACATTTTTTAAATATTTAGTTAGAACTGCAATCCTAAAAATATACTTTATAATAATTTAATACTAATAAAAGCATACAAATAAATATATTAAATTGTATAAAAATCAAGTTTAATTTTATAATATAAATATG